CAGGAATCGGATTACATTACACGGTATTAGAGGATTACTCGAAGATAGATTATAAATGAGACCAATCCTCCACTCGATGTTGATCAACAACGTGCTCTACAAAAGAGATACATGCCCAGGAGTTTAGACGAATGAGAACTTGTAAGCTATTTGGATAGTAAGCGCAACACTTGTTTCGTATTAGTATAATTGCTTATACATGTAATTTTTTGACTTAATTGCAGATAAATGCTATTAATGATATTGAAGCCATTGCAAATGAGAGTCTATCACAATCAGTTAGAGATACAGCTCAAAGAGTACACACATCTCTTTATCAACGGGTAGTATGAAGGATTTGTAAAACTTTGAATCGAACCCATGAGGGTCTTCATAATGGTCGAGAGGTGATGGTTCAACCAAGTCAATAGAGACAACGAGGATCTTGTAGGAACGATGATGAGGCTGGGCCTTCACAACATGTTAGTGGCCTATCACAACCACACACAGAACCGGACAGTGAGCTCGTGTAAACTCAACTTCTTGTAGGGTGACGACGAACTTCTTGGGTAACCGGAGGGAGACAAACGAGATGGAGATGATTTTGTTGTTTCATAAATCTTAGAAGAGATTTTGTAGGTCCAGCCACTGATCTTTCGTTCTTGGCTTAGTGTGTAGAGTTGATGATGAAGGGATGACATTAGAACTCACGAGTCACGAGCCATATGTTTTATGCTACCAAATTTTTATATTCGAGATCTAACGACAAATTTGGGACTTGGGAATTGATCTATGTTACCCGGGTACTTCTATATTGAAGCCGTACCCGTACCGGACACGTACCCCACACTTTCCCGTACCCAAACTTCATGGATACTTCTTGAATATATGCATGCATTTATTACAACATGTACTCAATTATAAGATATATGTGTTAATTTAAAAACTTCTTGAATATATGCATGCATTTATTACAACATGTACTCAATTATAAGATATATGTGTTAATTTAAAACACTTGTCAAAGACTTCCTGGACGTAGAGCTTACACTTCATATCCGTCTTTTGAAACTAATGAGATACGGGTCAGGTTCGTTTCAGTCCATACCCAAGTTCAAAACTATATAATTAATGGGTCGTTTAGATGTCTAGTAAAAAAATGAGTAATTTACAATTCACGATAATCAATATGATAAAAGAAACTCAAGAATGTGATCGAAATTTTAATTCTAATGACCAATGAAGCGGGGAAAAATTATCTCATGTACATTATTAATTCAATATGTACATTATTAATTCAATATGTATATGTAGTCGTGTCCCCGTACCCTACATTTTACAGTTTTGTCGTGTCCCTTACCCGTACCCGCACCCGTACCAGTACCCGTGCCCGTTTTCATGCAACTTAGGAATTGATTAATCTTACTTGCTTCTCATGTTCATCTTCATCTTTCTCGTGTATCTAGCTTTGATGGTGGAATTAGTCCACTCGTTTTGAGATTTGATGCCTAATGGAAACTATTTATCGAACATATGGAAATTTGATGTAAAGTGTAGGTATAAGGTTTGTTTATATTAAGTTTTAGTTTACATCAAACCATCTCATATCTCCTTTTAGATTACCGTCTTTTGATTTTGTTTGAATTTTATTTGTTAGTCGTCAATTTCACTTGATTTTTTGCTGGAAGTAAAATTTGTCCAATTATCTAATGGAGTTATTTACATAATTTTTTAGCCCTTTAGTAAATGCAGAGAACTGTTTTGTTAGTAGTTTTTTTCCTTCCTGCATGCTAGGGCAGGGGAGATCTCTGTAACAAGCAGTGTAAGTACGGAAGAAGCAGGGGACATTGGCAAAGAGGAGCAACCAAAGACTAGAGTAAGACTGAACATTGTTTTTGTCACTTCTGAAGCAGCTCCATATTCAAAGATAGGAGTTTTGTGTGATGTCTATGGTTCCTTGCCTACATTCAGATAATAGCTCTGTGGGTGTGTTTTCAGGAAATCCACAGGACTATCAGTCCCGTAAATTTTATTTTTGCAAATTCCACAGGATTAGTAGTCACGTTTACTGTGTGTGCACGTTTTTGTGCAGGCCTAGCAAATAAATGAGACTATTAGTACTATGGATTTTGTTTCTGCAAGATTCATGGGACTAGCAGTCCTGTGAATTCTCAAGTCTGGGTTCACTTAACATTGGTATGCCTATTTTGTAGTGATAATTTTCATAAAACTCCCTCAACCTCACAAATATTGATATTAGTGGGTCAATTACTAAATACTTGTAGTTATTTCCTCAAATCCTTTAAATTTTTAAAAACTACTTCATCGAACTTAATATTACTCTATCGAATCTTTAGAGGTTTGGAATTTCCTTCTTAAATGTCCATAATTAGTTGAAATTAGTCCTTAAAAATATTTAGATTAGTTGAAATTAGTCCCTAAAATGTCTAAATATTTTGCAAATTACCCCTTAAATTTAAAACTAGTCTCCCAAACCTTTAATCACTTTCTATTTCTTTCTCAAATGTTCATAGTTTGAATTTAGTCCCTCAAATGGGTTCATAAAACTTAAAATCAGTCTCTAGAATAGTTAAAGATTTGAAATTACTCCCTTAAATGTTCATAATTAGTCCCTCAAATCTTTATAAATTTTGCGAATTATTACTTTGTATTTAAAAATAGTTCCTCAGTTAGTTAAACATTTTAAAATCCCTCCCTCAAGTGGTCATATTTTAGAATTAGTCCCTCAAATGGTGGGTATTCTCAGTCCACTTATGGTTGGCAATAATTTTGTCCTATTAGGGTGGTAAGCATACCATGGAGACCACAATCATGGTTTCTTCTATTTTTTAGTTTGAACTAAACACTAGAAAATGAGGGAATCAATTCACACGTAAACTACTTTCTTGTCTTTTCAAATTGAACTGAACTAATAAAAGTGATGGAAAGTAATTATGTCCCATGTTTTATGACAAAACAAACACAAGAAACACTCTTCCAAGTATGCGAGGGGAACACGAAAAAAATGAAGGAAAGATATTATTATTTGAAAAATGAAGGAAAACAACCAAACAGCCCGTTAATTGAAACTGTACAATCTGACCTAAATATATCATATAATGAACACAAGTTTAAACCATATCTAGGCATCCGTCCAATAACTTATGCAATTTAATAACTGCCCGATGAACAGAAGTAGGTTTCACCCTCTTGCTTTTAAGGTTATAGCACATCTTTTTGTTTACTGCCAACATCTCAAATGGGTAAAAATCTCTTCTTTAATCTCGCAGACCCATTTCAAGTTAACATTTTATTAACCAAAAATTTTAAAATATATATATATATACAAAAAGAAAAGGGAAATGAGTAGAACAAAGGAAAGAGAATGAAACTACCTGCAAAAGGAGAGAGCAACCGGCGCCTCTTGGGGGTCATTTGCTTTCTGAAGAGAGGGGCTTCGTGGGGGTCATTTGCCTATATTTGCAGAAAATATTCACCATTGGATTTTTTTTTAACCAGACCTCACTGTTAAGGAATATACTCGTAATAAACCTTTCTTATAAAAAGTCACAGGGTAAATAACAACCTCCCACAAAACCATCATCTCCTTCATCCCATAAATTCATCATTCAGCCTAAATCAGATGTTTCCTTGAATTGGGGTAAAATAAAGTTCCTTTTAGCTCTTGGGTCTGGGAACCAATTGTAACAACTTGCCCTTTACCCAAATCAGAGGTTTCCCCCGCTATGTTTAAAATTGAGGGGTGGGAGGATTTTTTTTTTTTTTTTTTTTTTTTGGGGGGGGAGGGGTGGAATATATATATATATTTTTTTTTTTTTGTCGAGGAACTTTCACACGAATCAAGCTAACGGGCAACCCCAAAGCCTAATGTAATTCATTAAATTAAATTCTTAGTGGGTGCTTTTTCTAAGAGAGTTGAAATCAAGACCTGAAATACTATTCATATGCAGCTTATCACCTTAGAACCTCATAGGTGGAGGAATCAGATTTTAAGGATTTAGGTCAAGTAACAGCTTGATTTCACTTATGTTCCCTATTGTTTCCCTGCTTTGCATTTACATACCCTCAATTGTTTTTTATAACATTTATATACCCTAAAGATTTTACAATTTATAATTTAATACCCTTAGCTATACACATGCGAGTATCCCCAAAGTTTTCAAATGAGTACATTTACATGCTAATTTCGGAACATTTGATTTATTAACAGTTGTTTTTTATGAAAATAAATTTTTTTTCATGATATACAGCAATCAATAGTTGGAAAATTTTAATAAACTAATTATAATTCATTATAAGATAAAGTATAGGAGAAATTTTTGAAAAAAAAATCATTTTTGACATTTTATTAACAAAATCGTCTATTTTTTACTTTAATTATCAAAATTGACCATTTTTTGTTACATCATTATGGCGTGCTAAAAAGTGATAGATTTTGCAATATAGAGACTTTTAAAAATGTGGGGCTACTGGTCCCTTGTAATTAGTGGTCAGTAATTAATGGTTAATCTAATTCTTTTAAAATTCATGGGACTATTAGTCAAGTTAACCATTAATTAGTGACCACTAATTATGTTTTTCTAAGTCTCTATCTTGCTAAATCGATCACTTTTTGACCAGCTGTAATGACATTAACAAAAAGTGATCAATTTTGCTAATTAAAGAGAAAAATGGTCGGTTTTACTAATAAATTTTCAAAAAAAAGTCTTTTTTAAAGAATTAACATAAAATATATGCTACTAGGGATAAATCTTTTTTCACGAACTTCGACCATTGGGTCCACAACACAGATGATCGCATTGTACTGAATACTAATTTTATGTTGTGCATGTTTATAAGAAGTACAAACTATATACGCATAGGATTTGCTTCCACTTGTGTGACGTGTCCATAAAAGATGCAGTACTATAAACAGTCGTAACACTAAACTCTCTATTTCTAATTGAATCAAATTTGGGGGAACTTGGTATTTGTGGAGAAAATCAATCTTACTCCTTTAAAACGTTTTCCCTGTAGCTCTAATTATATTGAAGAAGAAGAATCTTGAACATGGAAGATACAAACTGGCATTTTGATCCACAGCTTCTGAATCTTCCTTGTGTAGTTGCATTTGCAACAAGAAGTTGTGATGAAAATGTACAAGCTTCAAGTACAGATGATACAACTAGCTACACTAACTAGAAAAAAATATGAAAATTTATTGTTCTCACAGTAGATTCTCCTACGGCCAACAATATTTAAATTTTATAGAGCACCTCTTTTTCTTTTTTCCCAGAACTTATGCTTCAAAGAGTTCGAACCGACTAACATACATCAAACGCATTACTTTTTTCTTTTTTCCCAGAACTTATGCTTCAAAGAGTTCGAACCGACTAACATACATCAAACGCATTACTTAAGTGATTACAAGCGTTATCTTCTCCCACTAAAGTACTTGTGGTGAATGAATTATAGAACTGCAATCATCCGAACAAATATCCTGAAGAGATGAAATACCGATAACTGATCGCAATGGGGATGAAGATAGATATGGCCGTGGTGGAACTTGCAAGTCATTAACACTACCTTCCAACATCTCTATAACTCTGTTAATTGGAGGTCGATTCTGAGGCATTGTTTGAATGCACCATAAGCCAACCAATATCATTTTCCTTACGGTTTCTTCACTTTCAGCAGTCATTCCATAAGCTAATAGGTTGCCATGTTTATTTAAATGTTCATATATCGAATGAGGAAAATATTCTTCACTACTATTGCCACCTTCATTGAGCTTCTTTTTTCCTCCAGCAATCTCTAGCACCATCATTCCATAACTGTAAACATCTGACTTACTCGACACCATTCCAAAATTTCTTGAGAAAACTTCTGGCGCAATATATCCAATGGTTCCTCTAGCACCTGCAATGGAAATTATACTGTCTTTCTTTTGGCATAATTTTGCAAGTCCAAAATCAGAAATCTTGGGACAAAAATCTTGATCAAGCAATATATTATGAGGCTTGATGTCAAAATGTACTATGCGTGTATTGCATCCACGATGCAGATACTCCAGCCCTCTAGCAATGCCAATTGCGATCCGGTACAAGTTTTCCCACTCCAGAGTTGTTTTCGGTTTCTCTGCGTAGAGCAATTTCTCAAGTGAACCATTGCACATGAAATCATAGATGAGTGCTCTTTTTGATCCCTCATAGCAAAAGCCCAAAAGGCTAACAACATTGACATGAGAAGTCCTACAAATGCTTGCAACTTCATTGATAAATTCTTCCCCGTCACTTTGAGTATCTTTTAATATCTTTACTGCCACCAAATGACCATTGCTGAGAGTGCCCTTAAACACGGTGCCAAAACCACCTTGTCCGAGTTTCTCTTGAAAAGCTTTGGTTATTTTTTTCACATTTGAATATGAATATCTTTTAGGGGCCAAAGCTCCATATTCCTCTAGAAATACTTCAATATGTTTATCATTGGAAACCTTTCTATTCTTGCGCAAATAGAGAGTTAGACATACCAAGAGGAAGCTTGCTCCTAGAGCAGAACCTGAAAAGGAAACAGAATGTGATGAATAAGTTCCTAAAATTTTAAAAAATTTGTTTTAAAGCATCTAAACAATAATCACATGATTTGTCCCTAAATGAATCCCACCAACATAAACTTAGAAAAATTGCTAGCTGATAAATGTAAGAGGAAATGTCATCTTAGTGCTTATACTGACCCATTTTTAAATGCATGCCATCAATAAGACTCCTACAGATCATATTTCAATGTTAATTTTGATATAAGGAATAAAACTACAAAACATTAGTTGCAAACTATCTCTATTATCTAGACACTGTAGCTGCAACACCTCCATTTGCAACAAGACCATCGTCCCCTTATCATCTTAATTGTTGCACCTTCACCTACGGCTTGCATCCCACACTTTCAAGTGCTCGCAAAGAAATTAGGTTCTTTATTAACTCTGAAAAACGTGCCGAACTTTCATAAGAGTTCGCACCATCTCGTCAAACATGTTCACCTTGATGTTTCTGACGCTGACAGTCTTGAAGTAGACTTCTTTCTCATGATGATTGCCACCCCATTGTAATCTTCAGATATGTCAAACCACTCTTATGTGGGCACAGATAGTTCGTGCAAGACGAGTCAGGTATCCATGCATTAGAGTAAGAATCCCTTCTCGTGGGCCTAGTATTGGCTGCTTTTCAATTCTAAGCCCTATTCAACACCCGTATACACATATTCCTATCCGTACCCATGCAACGTAGTCAGTCAGTAAGTGATTCATTAATTCATTCCAATAGTAGAAATTGTAAACTCTACACAGACTGGAGTCAAATCTAACATAAAAACCCCACAAAAGAATACATGGTCTTCTCATGCACAACAGCAAAGACATAATGTGTATTAGTTGGAAAGTAATTTAAAAAAAAAAAGACGGATTTGAACAGTAAATCATAAAGAAACCTGCTGTCTGATTCAGCTAGTTAATGAAGTAGCACCATATTTTGAATCGTGATACCCCCTAACGCCCCCCCCCCCGCCCCCCCCTCAAAAAAAAAAAAAAGGACCACCACCACCAACACCAAGGGGAAAAAAAACAAATGTGAGTTCATGCGGAGATGTTCCTATAATCAATCGTGAATATTTCATCTGCATTCCCGCGGGTTCTAAATCTTACCAGGTTAGGACATGCCAAAGAAACGCCAAGAAGCATATACATGATTTTCTACTTTGATAAAGTATCACACACACAATTTCTATTCCACCGGAGTGCTTACAACAAGGTAAGTCCAAGTAGGGTAAGGAACCACTCAAGTGATTCAAGTGATTGACTAAATGCGAGTGGGGTCCACACCCACGTGTGTGGCTGAGACAGCCAGCGGGAGTTTTTCTTTAAGCAGGCCGGATTTTTTGCTTTTGGGCCTGCTTTCGGTTTTGTTCTTTGATTATAAATAGGAACGAACGTGGTTTCTAGGTTTTCTGAAGAAGGGGAAAAACGTGCGGGGAAATCAAAGTCGGCTGCTGTGGGAAAAGACTGCGGAAAAAGCAGAGAGGTTGAAAAGTTTTTTCGGCTGTTCCTGAGAGAAAAGCAGAGAGTTTTTGAGGAGAGAGAAAAAGAGAGATTTTACAAAAGAGGGTAATTTCTTTTGGGTAAAAATTAATAGATCTTTTTCTTTGAGACGAGCTTGTGGATTGTACAAGTCGTCGGTGTTCTCCTTATAGTGGAATCTCCCCTCACCCCTCCCGTGGACGTAGGCAAGTTTGCCGAACCACGTAAATCTCGTGTATTTACTGTTTTCTGGGTTGTTGGCTATTGCTTGTAGGTTCCCTCAATATTCGGTCTTAGAGTTGATGAGAGGAAGAGTGTATATTTCACTTTGATGAAATATATCACTTTCAATTCTTGTTTCCTTTGAGAAATAAGAATTTCATTATCTATTCTCGTTTCCTTTGAGAAACAAGAATATAGAGGTTGACTTGTGCTTTTGTGACAACAAAAGCCAGGGCTTTCTCTCAGGTGATATCGCTTCCGCGACGGTGGGCGTGACTCTGCGCCCAACAATTGGTATCAGAGCTGTTATTCAGATTGGGAGTGGTGTAGCTTCTGATTTGAGGTGGTGCTCGGTAATTTCCTGAGAGAAGCGGATTCATTAATACAAGCGGAGAATGGCGTCAACAAGTAAAACAGTTAAAGTGGGAAAATATGAGATTAAAAAATTCAATGGGAAGAATGATTTTTCTTATTGGAGGATGCAGATGAAGAACTCGCTGATTTCGCAGAAATTACACAAAGCTTTGGCGGGAAAAGAGAAGAAGCACAAGGATATGTCTGATGAGGATTGGGAGGAGCTGGATTTGGAAGCACGGGCGTCGATTATCCTTTGCCTTGAAAGGGATATAGCTTTCTTGGTAGATGGAGAGGAAACGGCTGCGGGCGTGTGGTCGAAGTTAGAAAGCACCTTCATGACGAAGAGTCTAACGAACCGGATCTATTTAAAATCCAAATTGTATACTTGCAAGATGGAGGAGGGCTCATCAATCCGGGAATACATCAACAAGTTTGATAGGATTATATCGGACCTGAAGGACATCGATGTGACTGTAGAAGACGAGGATCAGGCTCTTCTACTACTTCTATCTCTGCCGAAATCTTATGAGAACCTGGTGCAAACACTGATGCTTGTGGGAGACAATTTGACGATGGATGAGACTAGAACGGCACTTCTAGCGGATGACCTTCGGAAGATTGCAACCAGTGACATGACTACTGGTGGTAACAAAGAACAAGCGCAGGGATTGTTTGCTAGAGGAAGGAGCAATGAGCGAGGAAAAGGCAAGGGAGGAAAGTCTAGATCTAAATCGAGACCCCTTGCGGGACGAGCGTGCTTCAAATGCGGTGAAGTTGGGCATTTCAAGGTTGACTGTCCTAACAAGAGAGTAGGTGGGAAAAAGAACAACAACAAGACCGAGAGAAGAGAAGGCAAGGAAGAGGCGAGTTACGCATCGGAGGAAGGGAGCGAGAAGGAATGCTATGTCGTCACGGGTGACGAGGATACCTCCGGGAAGTGGATTCTTGATTCTGGTTGCTCTTACCATATGTGTCCAAATAGGAAGTGGTTTACTACCTACAGGAGCATTGATGGTGGAACCGTATTGATGGGGAACAACCATGCTTGTAAAACGGTGGGGCTAGGTGATATCAAAATCAAGATGCATGATGGAGTGGTTCGAACTCTAACGGACGTGCGGCACTTTCTCGCCTTGCGGAAGAATCTTATCTCAGTGGGTGCATTGGACTCTGGTGGCTGCAAGATTGTTAGAGAGAACGGAGTGAAGAAGGTTGTTCGAGGTTCCCTAATAGTGATGAAGGGTGTACGTCACGGTAATCTATATACTCTCTCGGGTACGATGGTGACAGGAGATGCAGCGGTTGGAACTGAAGGAAGTGGTGGAGACCCATGTGAGCACACACGGTTATGGCATAGGCGGCTTGGGCACATGTCAGAGAATGGTCTAGTTCTGCTTGGTAAGGAGGGTTTGCTGAAGAATCTGAAGAAACCTTGCATGGATTTTTGTGAGGATTGTGTGTACGGAAAGGCGCACAGGGTCCAATTCTTGAAAAGCAATCACAAGAGCAGAGGTATACTAGATTATGTGCACACGGATGTTTGGGGTCCGGCTCAGACAACTTCCAAGGGTGGTTCCAGGTATTTTGTCTCGTTCATAGACGATTATTCTAGGTATGCTTGGATTTATTTTCTTAAGCATAAGAATGAGGTATTCGAGACATTCAAGAAGTGGAAAGCAATGGTTGAGAACAGGACGGGCAAGAAATTGAAGACACTAAGATCTGACAACGGTACAGAGTATACAGATGGTGCTTTCAAGAAGTTCTGTGATCAGGAGGGCATTGTTCGACACTGGACAGTCAGGTCAACACCACAGCAGAACGGGGTCGCGGAGAGACTGAACCGAACATTGCGGGAAAAGGCAATGAGTATGCGATCTTATGCTGGATTGGGCAACGAATGGTGGGCAGAAGCAGTGGCTACAGCATGTTACATTGTGAACCGTTCTCCACATTCGACATTAGATGGTGATACACCCTATAGGGTGTGGTCAGGGGAACATGCGGATTATGAGAGGCTCAGAATTTTCGGATGTACCGCCTATTATCACGTCAACGAGGGAAAGCTTGACGCGAGGGCCAAGAAGGCGATATTCTTGGGGTATGCAAAGGGCGTAAAAGGCTACCGTCTTTGGTGTACAGAAGATTCAAAGTTCGTAATCAGCAGGGACGTTACCTTTGATGAAAAATACATGATTGCTAGGGCGCCCAAGGATGATGGTGTTGGGACTGTTGGGACTTCAAAGTCCCAGGTTATTGAGATAGAACCTAAAGACCAACCAGGTTCTAGTCATGTTCAAGTGGGAAATCAGGTAGATGATGAGCTTGAGCAGGAGGAGGTTTAGCAGGAGAATACACAGGCACTGGGAAATCAGGTAGATGATGAGCTTGAGCAGGAGGAGGTTCAGCATGAGAATATACAGGCACTACAACAACAGCAGCTCGAGGATACTTTGGCTTCCACTAGGCCAAAGCGAGCATACAAGCAGGTACAGAAGCTGGGGGCTGATCAACCCCTGAAGCACTATGGGCAGGTTAATTTGGTTGAATACGCACTCTCGGTGGAGGAAGATGAGCCGGTCTCCTTCAAGGAAGCTATTCGGGATAAAGATAGTGAGAGTTGGTTGGCTGCGATGGAGGAGGAGATGGAATCTCTTCGGAAGAACCAAACATGGGAGGTGGTCCCATTGCCCGTAGGAAGAAAAGCTATTGGTTGTAAGTGGGTGTATAAGAGAAAGGAAGATCCTTCAGAGCTCGGTGGTACAAGGTACAAGGCGAGGCTAGTGGCTAAAGGGTTTGCACAAAGAGAGGGTGTGGATTACAATGAGATCTTTTCTCCGGTGGTGAAACACACTTCTATTCGGGTGCTATTGAGTATTGTTGCTCATGGTGATCTTGAGCTGGAACAACTCGATGTTAAAACGGCCTTCTTGCACGGAGACTTGGATGAAGAAATCTACATGCATCAACCTGAGGGCTACAAGGTTGAGAATAAGGAACATCATGTATGTCGCTTGAGGAAGTCACTCTATGGACTAAAGCAATCTCCTCGGCAGTGGTACAAGCGATTTGACTCCTTCATGCTGAAGCATGGGTTTTCCCGAAGTGATTACGATTGCTGTGTTTACATTCGGAAGCTTCGTGGAGGTGATTATATTTATCTCCTTTTGTATGTGGATGACATGCTTATTGCTTCTAAGAGCAAGGTGGAGATAGATAGGCTAAAATCTCAACTTGGTAAAGAGTTCGAGATGAAGGACATGGGCGCTGCTAGAAAAATACTGGGTATGGAGATTAGAAGAGAACGGGAGAATCGGCGATTGTTCTTGAGTCAGAAGGGCTACATAGAGCGGGTGATCACAAGGTTCGGGATGCAAAGTGCAAAGTCGGTAGCGACTCCATTGGGTAAACAATCTCCCACTACAGCGGAAGATAAGGCACACATGGAGCGTGTTCCTTATGCTAGTGCAGTTGGCAGTTTGATGTACGCCATGGTGTGTACACGTCCAGATATTTCACAGGCGGTTAGTGTGGTCAGCAGATTCATGGCGAATCCGGGAAAGGCGTATTGGGAAGCGGTGAAAATGGGTCCTGAGGTACTTGAAAGGTACCGCGGATACGGGTCTGTGTTTTGGTGGAGATACATGTCAGATTGATGGGTTTGTTGACTCTGATTATGCGGGTGATCTAGATAGACGGCGATCTACTACTGGTTATGTATTCAGGATACATAGAGCTCCAGTTAGTTGGCGATTGATGTTGCAGGCTACAGTGGCACTTTCTACTACAGAGGCCGAGTATATGGCCATGGCGGAGGGAGTGAAGGAAGCATTGTGGTTGTGGGGTCTTCTAGACGATTTGGGAATTGAGCAGGAAAACGTGAACTTATGGTGCGACAGTCAGAGTGTGATTCACTTAGCGAAGAATCAAGTTCATCATGCTCGTACCAAGCATATCGATGTCAGGTATCATTTTGTGCGGGATGTCATAGAGGAAGGTGATATTTCTCTCATGAAGGTGCACACAAATAAGAATCCAGCAAACATGTTGACCAAGGTGGTCACAGGTAGCAAGTTTAAGCATTGCTTGGACTTGCTTCATATCAGCCCGTGTTGATTTACCGGAGAGGGCATGGCCCTTCGGGGCGGTGATGAGGTGAGGTGGAGACTATGATGGAGAACAATATCTGAACTACGGTTAGCTTGATTCCGGTGGAGGGTACGTAGGCAGCCGCGGTAAAGTGGCGCAGCTGGTTTGACCTGGTTTTGGCCTGGTTTGGTCGATTTCAGATCTCTAGTGATGTTCGCGGTGTTCTTCTGATGTTCGTCCATAATTTGAGGTTTATCAAATGATGTACGAGGTGGAGAATTGCGAGTGGGGTCCACACCCACGTGTGTGGCTGAGACAGCCAGCGGGAGTTTTTCTTTAAGCAGGCCGGATTTTTTGCTTTTGGGCCTGCTTTCGGTTTTGTTCTTTGATTATAAATAGGAACGAACGTGGTTTCTAGGTTTTCTGAAGAAGGGGAAAAACGTGTGGGGAAATCAAAGTCGGCTGCTGTAGGAAAAGACTGCGGAAAAAGCAGAGAGGTTGAAAAGTTTTTTCGGCTGTTCCTGAGAGAAAAGTAGAGAGTTTTTGAGGAGAGAGAAAAAGAGAGATTTTTACAAAAGAGGGTAATTTCTTTTGGGTAAAAATTAATAGATTTTTTTCTTTGAGACGAACTTGTGGATTGTACAAGTCGTCGGTGTTCTCCTTATAGTGGAATCTCCCCTCACCCCTCCCGTGGACGTAGGCAAGTTTGCCGAACCACGTAAATCTCGTGTATTTACTGTTTTCTGGGTTGTTGGCTATTGCTTGTAGGTTCCCTCAATATTCGGTCTTAGAGCTGATGAGAGGAAGAGTGTATATTTCACTTTGATGAAATATATCACTTTCAATTCTTGTTTCCTTTGAGAAATAAGAATTTCATTATCTATTCTCGTTTCCTTTGAGAAACAAGAATATAGAGGTTGACTTGTGCTTTTGTGACAACAAAAGCAAGGGCTTTCTCTCAGGTGATATCGCTTCCGCGGCGGTGGGCGTGACTCTGCGCCCAACACTAAATTTTACTTCACAGCACCCTTCATAAGAGTGTGCGATAATCCAATGGGTTGATTAAATCTAATTTCACATGACACTTCTTGAAAAATGTATTATATTTTACCGGTAAAGGTTAGGACGGGTCATCTAGTATAAGAAAGTACATAATAATCTAATCTATGAAGCAGAGAAACTAAGGAATTTTACTTGCAGTGTGCAGGCACCTAGCTACTCTCACACTTCATAATTACACTTGTTAATCTCAAGTAGGATACTACGACGCAGTATTAAATAGACAGGTTACCATCAGGACATATTTATAAAAAAATATATATAGCTAGCTTAAATTTCAACATAGATTCATTACCTACTCCAATAATTGTCCTTGGTGCTCCACTGCCTTTCTCTGAAACATAAAGAACACTGAATCAGAAATTTACATAAAAGATAGAACAACTGGAACAAATTAAGATTGACATTGAGTCACAAAAAAAAAAAAGATTGACATCTAAAGAAAACACAATTTGAATAATGATCATTACAGAGTACTGTGTAGATATAGTTTGATGATAATTGATAGGATACTTAAGAGCAAAAATTAACAGATTAACAATGAAATGGCACTTTAAACTTGACTTCTAAGCTTATCATCAAGAAGTTGTTACAAATGGATAAACCAACGACCAGGAGCACACTACGAAGTACATAGTGCAAATTCTCTACTCTAGGGAACTATAGCACACATAGACTTAATTTCATCTCAGCCAAAAATCCATAGAACCCTTATAAGTAAAACCTTGTACCAATCAGGTTAGTCAAAGATCACCTGACTTAGCCCATCTGTCTAACGTATACCAAATTCATCACATTCAACTAAAAGAATCAAGAAATCAACCAAGAGAACAGAGAGAATCAGGGAACATACTGAAGAGCGGAACACAAGTGCCATTATCGCTCGACCAATTCGAACAGAAGCAAGCCCCTCCGTCCTCCGTCTTCGGATCGTTCCCGCAGACCCCTTCAGAGTTGGTGCACCTATCACACCACCCTTCACCAGATTTCCAGAACAACCCGAACCCCTGCTTCATCGCCCTCCCGAAGTCATTCGTCCCGTTCCTCAAATAACTGTTCGCCGCAGACTTGTATACGCCGTTTAAAGGTGCAGAGTGCCCGGACGTCCATGATTCGGCGCTGTGGCTCATCCTCAAACCTATAAAACGACTGGTAGCCATTGCCCCCATGGGAGAAACACGTGATGTTCGGTATCTGAAATTTGGTGAACAAGGGTACCAAGGCCGGCGAGCAGTTGTAGTAGACGGTCAATACGTCATCGCTTTCTGTGTAATTGAAGAGACTGGGGTTGAAGAGACTGGAGTTGAAGCCGGTGTTGGTGAGGGACAGGGGACAGGAGTGGTCGGAGAGGAGCTCGACGAGGGTGAATGTACGGGACGTGTAGTCGATGGAGCCGACGCGGTAGTCCGTGGTGTCGTCGGCGCACGTCAGGTCGAACTTCGGGTGCCCACAGTAAGGCGGGGCGCCCTGGAGCCTGAACGGGTAGGAAATCTCGAATGTACTCCCGCCGCAGCGGTAGCTGGTCGGCTTGCAGTCGGAGTAACCTTGGCTCTCGGTCGGGTCGGAGAGCGACGGAGAGGCGAGGAATCCGGCGAGGAGCAAGAAGAGAGATAGAGAAGAATGCATTATCGGAGATGGTTAGAGTGAGCGGAATTAAGATGGGAAAGAGAGGGCGATCGAAAGGGCTTTGAGGCCTTACTAATTTAGAATGCATAGACCAAGACTTACTAATTTTTCCAAGTCCTCTCCTCTCCCCCATCAAAATCAAAATCAAAATCAAGACTTACTAATTTAGAATGCATAGACCAAGACTTACTAATTTTTCCAAGTCCTCTCCCCCATCAAAATCAAAATCAAAATCAAGAATAATCTGCAAGGGAGAAAAATTAAGGAGGCCCATGGGTTGAGTGTGTTGGGGATTATGCAGCCCACAAACACCCCCACACAATAGTTGCGAGTAATCAACAAAATATTACGAAGAGTTTTTATTTAGTTTGGCAAACACGTAGGGGTGAGCACGGCTCGGTTCAAACCGAAAAAACCGACCGAACCGACCCGAACCGACCCGAAAAAAGCGGTTTTATGAGTAAGGCGGTTCGGGTCGGGTTAACAATTTTTCAAACCGACCCGACCCGAACCAACCGAATATATTCCCCTGCCTCAAACCCTACCCGTTTACCCGTTTACCCAAAGACAAAGCAAGTCTGTTACTAAAAAATTACAACGTCAGAGTCTAGTATTTAATCCAAAAGGACAAGTTACTTCACTTAAAAACAGTATACATACATGAGCAAGAATAATAAATTGAAGTGAAGTTAAAAAATAAATACATGCTGGCATAGGGTAATAAGAATATATAAAAGATAAATTAAAGTAAAGTTATACTTGATGAAGTTAAAACCGAACAAACCGAACCGAACCGAACCGAACCGATTTGTAATGGTTCGGTTCGGTTTTGAATTGTAGATGGTTCGGTTCGGTTGTTCAAATTTTGGTAAAAACCGACCCGAACCGAACCGTGCTCACCCTTACAAACACGCCTATATCTATTTTCACTATGCTTCGCAAACTAGTACAAGTTTTGTAAGGGGGGTTATTGGTTGGGACAAATAGGGGCCAAGTGGGAAAATTGTTCCAATAGAACAATTTTACCCCTTTGAGATATTTTGAATGGGGTAAAGTGGGATAAAATGGGATAATGAGATAATTTGAGCCTTTGATTTGACAATGCATGTGGGATAATTGATGATGTGAAACCTTATTAAAATATAATTTTATCTATTAATTACTTCTAAATTAACTTATCCCATTGGTTTAGTATATTATTTAGTATATTATTATAATATAAATATTATTTTACTTTATATTAAAATATAATATATTATACTATACTTACAAATTACTATTATTAATTATTATATTATATCATATTATATTATATTAGCATGCTATACTATATATAATAATTAATATAGTATAATATCAATATATTTAATATAATATTTTAATAGTATATATTTAATATAATACATTATTTTATTTATAAAAAATATAATATGTTATACAATAATTACTAATTAACATTATATTAGTATGCTACATTATATAATAATTGTAATATATGTTATTAAAATATTATATAATATTATAATAAATATGTTATACTATAATTACTAATTAATATCATATAATAATATATTACATTATATTATTAATATATGTTATATTTTATATATCATGTCATATATTATAATATAATTAGCATGTATTAGTTAAGTAATACAAAAATATTTTAAAATTATCCCAATTGTTTTCAAAGTGGAACAACATTGTTCTAATATGGAGGATGGGGTAAATTTTTACTATTGGGACAAAATTTTTGTATATGAGTGGGGTAATTTTACCCCAAGTGGTGTAATTGTCTCACTAGTGTTCTAGAAAACCAATAACACAAAAAGTTATTATCCTTGTTTCATTGTCCCAATGAATAACGCTATGAAATAGAATCCCCAAAATTATCTCATTGTCCTCCAAAATGTCCCAACCAATAACCCCCCTAAGTAACAATCCAAAACCTCACCTCATGCTGCCCCAAGAACTCGTGTATACCCTAACTTAAGAGCCCAAAGAATATTGATTGTGACACTCTCAAAATCTGTAGTGGAAGATAGACATGGGGCAGGCAACGACAACAATCCATGCACAAGACAAATCTCATGCATATGTCAAGCCTGACACTTCATACCGTATAGCTTTTTACACAAATATAAAATCTGCTGATGACGAAAGTTCAGGATAAATTATTTACATGATGAATACTTACAACTCAAAAACTCACCGTCATAAGTACTTAACCAAAAATAAGTCATTCAGCCATATACAATACAAGGGAGAGGCTTTTCCTCTTACGCCTCTTAACATAATCCTCATCCCCCAAAAGTCAACTTTCATACAAAACAATTAAGAATCAGAAAGTTTTGAAAATGGTGGGGTGAGCAAAAGTTCAATAAGAATATTTCACATTAGAGTTCCAAGATATTTGACAAAATAATAATCCTCAACATAGTAAATTATAAGTTTTGCACTTGTAGTTCGAAGATGAGAAAATATTACATAAAATAACGCATTAGTAGTCTTTTTAAGAAAGAAAGAGATAATTTAAATTTCTTCTTACATGCAAACTAAAATACGTTTTCATAAATTTCTGAATTAAAATTTCTCCCTCAAGATAAATATTGGAAAAACATAATATAAAAATTTGTGTAAAACAAGAAATTATCATTTTATCAAATTCACAGTCAAATATCAAAATCTCAAATATCAATGAGTTGTTCACATTGCTGCAAGAATTACCTCAAAGACCACATTAAGCCTACAAGTTATAGACCAATAGCATGGAAATGCCAAAAGAAATCACATAACACATAATTCCCAACAATAAAATAAGCATAACACTGCCATAGGCTCTTGGCCACATCACAAATACCCAAAGAGTCACATAAATGTGCATTTAATACTGTTTGGTGTGAAAGTTGATTTTTTCATTGTGCAACTCATTACAACTTCAAGTGTTACAAAAAGTTTAAAAGTTGATCTTTTTATAATATCTCCCCATATAATAAAATAACGAAAATTACAATTCTTCTCAAACAAACGCAACAGTCGTTTATCTCCCGCTACTTGCGTGAGATCTTTGCATGTGACGGGGACGTTGATATCCGTGGAATACCAAACGATCAGATCAATCCGGAGTTTCGTTGATTCGCAAAGGAATCAAGAAACCGAAGCGATTATCTCGGCAATAGTAAGATAACCACTCTTCTCGAGATCGCAGCTAGGTACAATCTCAAGGGAAGGAACCGAGAACTGTAGATCTGACGAACTCTTCTTCCTTATGCCGAAAAACTCGATCCGATCTTCTCTTCTTCTCTGAAATTCGTGCTTCTTCAGTCTCCAATTCAGCAAGGCTTCGCCGAGGCTCGATAATTCTAGATCCTTGTAAATGAAGGCCCTAGGACTGTATTTATAGGCCTCAGGAGCTCTGTTTTCGGATAAGAACCACCGATTCACTCTTATCCTCGGTTATAACTACTTTATCACGTTCTTGGATGATATTATATCAGTTGAAATAAATCCAGGTGGTTAATGGTAGAAAACCGCTCAAAAACCACAAAAACGGCTTTTTGGGGCCTGTGGACACCCGCAGTGTCTCAGCCGGGTGTCTCGGTCATGACCAAGACACCACGGGTGTCTCGGCCAAGGCCGATACACGTGCGGTGTCTCCGCTAAGGTCCGAGGCACTGTTTTGCGCGTCCCGTTTGTTTTCACTGTATCTTCGTCGTCCGAACTCGGAATTACGCAATTTAAAGTGCGATGAAAAGCCGACAATGAGATCTACAAGCTCCCATGGTTGAATCACATGTGGAGTAGATGGGACAGAGGGACACTTCACCTTTCATAAGCAAAGCGTAGCTCCTGATCAGTTCGTATCTTCGTTATTCTAAAATTCCGTTACTTCACACGGTTCGTCGACTTGCTTCATGTGTTTATCGACATCAATTAAACTTCTGTGACCCGGATAGTGACGTTCATCATCTTCTCTTTATCTCGAGCCGCGTGTGGAAATTCATGGATAATTTTGACGCCTACAGATACCCCCTCCAAAGTGTTTCAGTCTCGTTTCTTTTATAGAAGAGCCTGAAATACTTTGGATATGATCGGTCCAACCTTCAGTCGATGAGAAAGGACTTGTAGTTGGCTTCGATTCTTGACTTCTTTGATTTTGGTCTATTCAATATTTTGACGAATAGCTAAAATTCCTCCGGCGCTGCGTTTATCGTCTGGCCGTCGTCAAAGTCTCGAATCGAAATTGGTGAGTTGGTTTTGGCTCGTGTCATTGAGTTGACTTTGAACTGACTATCTCCGTCATAACGTGTTGACCGTTGTTGACTCAGAACTACGCGTTGACCGGCGTTGACCTAGGACTACGCGTTGACCGGCGTTGACCTTAGGGTTTTGTATCAATCGACGTTGACTTTCATCGCAACGCGTTGACTGGTGTTGACCTAGGGTTACGCATTGACCGGTGTTGACCTTAGGGTTTCGTATCGATCGACGTTGACTTTCATCGCAATGGTTGACTGGCGTTGACCTAGGGTTTTGCATTGATCATTATTGACTTTTTATTGCAATGCGTTGACCGTCATTGACTTTCGTCGCAACACGTTGACCGGTGTCTATACAGTTTATGCTCTTAAGGCGTTGGAGTGTGGCGATCCCAAATGTTAGGGTTGTAGGACCAACTGTTAAAGCTGATTCATCTGTATGAATGGATCTTATCCTGAAGTTGTCAGATCCTTGAGTCATGAGACCAATTAATGGAGCTGGTGCGCGCATTAATGACTATCATATTTATAGAATTTTTGACAAATTCTCAGCTATCAACAGGTTTGATTAGCCTTTACCGACTACCGTTTGAGCGGGCTAGCATGCAGATTGTTCAAATCCGTTCCGTACGTAACGTTGTGTTAAAAGAGTTAACTCTTTTTGCGCAACGATATTAAATACGTAGACTTCGTATTTCTCACGGGAATAGACGACCCGAGAACGCGTTGTTAGGCCCTAAGGTCGCTATGAAAGAACCCTAGAGGAGGGGGTGAATAGGATTTATGCTAATCTAATCTGATTTAATACCAATTAAAACTTACTAACAAATATCCTAGCAAATATGATATGTAATAAGATATATATGCAAGGATAAGTAAACTAACCAAGGGCAAACAGTATAGTGGAAGAAATAAACAAGATGCAATATGCGATATAAGATGAACACAAAAATAAGTGCGCCAATGCAATCACAAACAAACGATATGTTCACGAGGTTCGGTCCCCACGACCTACGTCCCCGCTCCTTACATCGAGAAGATCTCCACTATCACGACACACCCGGTTTGGAAGCCGGAACTTCTCTACACACTCGGTTATCAAGTCAACCGACAACTCTCACAAAATCTCACAATGTACATACACAAGCTACAACCTCAAGTGTTGGTCCTCACGTATCGACTCCCTCAAGTGCTCGGAATTATCACCTCTCACTATGCCACCGACGCCACTCCTCTCGGATCGACTCCGTCCTCACCACACACTCCTCTTGGTGTACAAGTGTATTACAAGTGATCTCACAATAAGCACACAAATATAAATTTGTTCTCTACAATAGATGAGAACACAATGTAGGCTCACACTCAATGTCACACAAACCCCACAACCCAAATTATACAATGTATGTAAATACAATAAGTTCAATGGTTGTGTGTGTAAATAAAGAGTAAACAAAATCAACTAAACTCAATATAAACACTAGCTTAACAAAATGGTAATTAAACAATATAAATGTAAAGCTGGATTGAGTTTAGGGAAACTTCTGTATAGATAACAAGAGAGAGGGAGAAGAGTGAATGCTCAAACACCAAGGATGATCTCCACTTACTCTTATGAAATTCTCTTCACAAACAAAACTCTTAAACGCTTAAAAGCTTTTTAAACAAACACTAAACAAAACTTAAACCCTTGTTAAAACTTTGTTAAAAAACATTCTCTTGGATGGGTGAAGAGTTTGTGATGATTTGTTAGGAGTATCTTCACCCTCGTTGACCGGAGGGAATATCAGATTGAAGTGGTTGAAAGAGACTTTTTAGTTTGAACTAAACACTAGAAAATGAGGGAATCGATTCACTAGTTAGGGTGAAGATACTCCTAACTAAATTAGATGTTTCCTTGAATTGGGGTAAAATAAAATTCCTTTTAGCTCTTGGGTCTGGGGACCAATTGTAACAACTTGCCCTTTACCCAAATCAGAGGTTTCCCCCGCTATGTTTAAAATTGAGTTTTTTTTTTTTTTTTTTTTTTTTTGAGGGGTGGAAGATTTTTTTTTTGTCGAGGAACTTTCACACGATCAAGCTAAGGGGCAACCCCAAAGCCTAATGTAATTCATTGAATTAAATTCTTGTGGGTGCTTTTTCTAGGAGAGTTGAAATCAAGACATGGGAATACCATTCATATGTAGCTTATCACCTTAGCTAGACACTCATAGGTGGAATAATCAGATTTTAAGGATTGGGTCAAGTAACAGCTTGATTTCACTTATGTTCCCTATTGTTTCCCTGCTTTGCATTTACATACCCTCAATTTTTTTATAGCATTTATATACCCTAAAGATTTTACAATTTATAATTTAATACCCTTAGATATACACATGCGAGTATCCCCAAAGTTTTCAAATGAGTACATTTACATGCTAATTTCGGAACATTTGATTTATTAACAGTTGTTTTTTATGAAAATAATTTTTTTTCATGATATACAGCAATCAATAGTTGGAAAATTTTAATAAACTAATTATAATTCATTATAAGATAAAGTATTGGAGAAATTTTCGAAAAAAATCACTTTTGACATTTTATTAACAAAATCGTCTATTTTTTACTTTAATTATCAAAATTGACCATTTTTTGTTACATCATTATGGCGTGCTAAAAAGTGATCGATTTTGCAATATAGAGACTTTTAAAAATGTGGGGCTACTGGTCCCTTGTAATTAGTGGTCAGTAATTAATGGTTAATCTAATTCTTTTAAAATTCATGGGACTATTAGTCAGATTAACCATTAATTAGTGACCACTAATTATGTTTTTCTAAGTCTCTATCTTGCTAAGTCGATCACTTTTTGACCAGATGTAATGACATTAACAAAAAGTGATCAATTTTGCTAATTAAAACGAAAAATGGTCGGTTTTACTAATAAATTTTCAAAAAAAAAAGTCCTTTCTAAAAGAATTAACATAAAAAATATGCTAATAGGGATAAATCCTTTTTCACGAACTTCGACCATTGGGTCCACAACACAGATGATTGCATTGTACTGAATACTAATTTTATGTTGTGCATGTTTATAGGAAGTACAAACTACGCATAGGATTTGCTTCCACTTGTGTGACGTGTCCATAAAAGATGCAGTACTACAAACAGTCGTAACACTAAACTCTCTATTTCTAATTGAATCAAATTTGGGGGAACTTGGTATTTGTGGAGAAAATCAATCTTACTCCTTTAAAACGTTTTCCCTGTAGCTCTAATTATATTGAAGAAGAAGAATCTTGAACATGGAAGATACAAACTGGCATTTTGATCCACAGCTTCTGGATCTTCCTTGTGTAGTTGCATTTGCAACAAGAAGTTGTGATGAAAATGTACAAGCTTCAAGTACAGATGATACAACTAGCTACACTAAATAGAAAAATATGAAAATTTATTGTTCTCACAGTAGATTCTCCTACTGCCAACAATATTTACATTTTATAGGGCACCTGTTTTTCTTTTTTCCCAGAACTTATGCTTCAAAGAGTTCGAACCGACTAACATACATCAAACGCATTACTTAAGTGATTACAAGCGTTATCTTCTCCCACTAAAGTACTTGTGGTGAATGAATTATAGAACTGCAATCATCCGAACAAATATCCTGAAGAGATGAAGTACCGATAACTGATCGCAAGGGGGATAAAGATAGATATGGCTGTGGGGGAAGTTGCAAGTCATTAACACCGCCTTCCAACATCTCTATAACTCTGTTAATTGGAGGTCGATTTTGAGGCATTGTTTGAATGCACCATAAGCCAACCAATATCATTTTCCTTACAGTTTCTTCGCTTTCAGCGGTCATTCCATAAGCTAAAAGGTTGCCATGTTTATTTAAATGTTCATCTATTGGCTGAGGAAAATATTCTTCACTACTGTTGCCACCTTCATTTGGCTTCTTTTTCCCACCAGCGATCTCTAGCACCATCATTCCGTAACTGTAAACATCTGACTTAGTTGACACCATTCCAAAATTTCTTGAGAAAACTTCTGGCGCAATATATCCAATGGTTCCTCTAGCACCTGCAATGGAAATTATACTGTCTTTCTTTTCGCATAATTTTGCAAGTCCAAAATCAGAAATCTTGGGACAAAAATCTTGATCAAGCAATATATTATGAGGCTTGATGTCAAAATGTACTATGCGTGTATTGCATCCACGATGCAGATACTCCAGCCCTCTAGCAATGCCAATCGCTATCCGGTATAAGTTTTCCCACTCCAGAGTTGTTTTCGGTTTCTCGGAGTAGAGAAATTTCTCGAGTGAACCATTGCACATGAAATCATAGATGAGTGCTCTTTTTGTTCCCTCACAGCAAAAGCCCAAAAGGCTAACAACATTGACATGAGAAGTCCTACAAATGCTTGCAACTTCATTGATAAATTCTTTCCCATCACTTTGAGTATCTTTTAATATCTTTACTGCCACCAAATGACCATTGCTGAGAGTGCCCTTAAACACGGTGCCAAAACCACCTTGTCCGAGTTTCTCTTGAAAAGCTTTGGTTATTTTTTTCACATTTGAATATGAATATCTTTTAGGGGCCAAAGCTCCGTATTCCTCTAGAAATACTTCAATATGTTTATCATTGGAAACCTTTCTATTCTTGCGCAAATAGAGAGCCAGTACTATTAGACATACCAAGAGGAAGCTTGCTCCTAGAGAACCTGAAAAGGAAACAGACTGTGATGAATAAGTTTCTAAAATTTAGAAAATTTGTTTTAAAGCTTCTGAACAATAATTGTTGGATAGCAGTATTCCTAATCTATTAGGATTCCTAATCTATTTTGGTAACATGAGGTTATTAGGATTCCTAATATATTTTGATAACATGAGGTTATTAGGATTCCTAATTTGTTTTGTTTTTGGTTTTAGGATTCCTAGTCTGTTTTGGTTTTAGTTTTTCTATATATATGGAGATTAGAATCAATCATCAAAAGTGAGGAGAGTTGTAATCAGATATTAGAGAGACTTTTGAGCATTGTGAGCAAGTTGAGAGCTTTGGTTGAGGGTTAGTTTGTGAGTTTTGTGAGATTGTAACCCTTTATACTCTCCTTGATTTAGTGGAATCTCCTCATCCTCTCCCCGTGGACGTAGGCAATTTGCTGAACCACGTAAAATTAGTTTGTCTCGCTTTTGTGTAATTTATAATAGCTTACTTAGGTTCCCTCGACAGGTCAGTCCTAGAACTAATAAGAGGAAGAGCTGATATCTCACTTGGTTAAGATATTTTGCTTAAGGTTCTTGTTTTCTTTGTGAAACAGGATTTCCTATTGTTACCTGACTCTCTTGTTGTGCTGTCAAAGTGCTGTCGAAATTTTTGCTACGTGCAACAAGTGGTATCAGAGCACTACAAGTGATATCAGAGCCAGATTTTAGATCTAGGGTTTTGGAATTAGGTGGAGGAAGATTCTTATTTGAAACTTGGTTTTTGGAGTTCTAGGCTTCGGTGGAGATAGTATTAGGAGTTGCCGTTGAAGATTTCGCTTTCCTGGTGTGGACAAGAGATCTATTTGAAATCTGATCTAGGGTTCAGTTGGGTAATTCTTAATTTCTATCAAAGTTTGATTCTTTCTCTATAACTTAGAGTTAGTTTGCAATGGGAGAAGAAGGTGAAAGCAGCAAGTCGATGACGAGTACAGTTCAAGTTGGTTTTCAGAACACCAAAACTAGTGTGGTGAAATATGACGGTAAAATCAACTTTGGTTTGTGGATGAGCGATATACATGATACGCTTAATTCTCAGAACTTGGAGGAGACCAACATGGTCCATAAGAGACCACCAAAATATGAAGAGGCGATATGGGAAAAGATGAATAGGAACGTTTCTGGGGTGATCAGGTCCTGTTTGGAATAGGAGCTGAAGTATGATGTGATTAGTGTGACGTCTGCAATGAAGATGTGGAAAATTCTCAACAATAAGTACCTTACAAAGCGTGTTAACCGGTTGCACTTGTTACGTAGGTTATTCAGATTTCAGATGTCCCGAGACACCTCGCTAGCTGCTTATGTGAATAACTATACGAAGTTGTTATCGGACTTGGCGAATGTTGATGAGAAGATTTCAGATGAGTACAAGGTGATTATCTTATTGGGCTCCTTATCGGATGAGGAGCATGACACATTTGTGCTCACTTTGTTGAACGGAAGATATTCTATCAGCTATAGTGAAGTTACTAATACATTGACGAATTATGATTTGAGGAGGAAGGACAAGGAGACTTCCCGTGCTAGTACTTCAGATGAGACCTTGTTGACGAGAAGTAGAAGCCCATATCCGAAATATGGTAATAGAGAAATGTCAAAGTTAAGAGACCGTCACCAGCTAGGAAAGAACCAATGTGCATTCTGCAAAGAGCAGAGATATTGTAAGAGAGACTACCCGAAGCTCAAGGAGAAGGAGAATGGCAAGAAAAAGGACCCGAAGGCCAATGAGATGAATGTTGTGAAAGACGATGATTCCGATGATTCGAGCTTTTCTCTATTGATTACTTCGGAGGTGAACCACTTGGATGCATCAGATTGGATGCTTGATTCCGGCGCTACTTATCATGTGACCCCTAGGCAAGATTGGTTTGCATCGTTTGAGAGACTCGATGTGGGTGTTGTTGTCATGGGAAGTGATCAATCATGTGGCATTTGTGGGATGGTACCGTGCGAATTCGGATGCACAATGGAGTAGTCCATGAATTGAAAGAGGTGAGATTCGTTCCTCAGCTGAAGAAGAATCTTATCTCAGTTGGAGCTTTGGAGACAAAGGGATTCAAGGTGACATTTGAAGACGCTGTAGCAAAGATTACTAAGGGATCTTTGGTGGTGATGAAGGGAGTTTGCTGTCGAAACTTGTATTATCTGAAGGGGAGCACCGAAATTGGCCAAGTAGCTTTAGCTATTTCAGAGGCGGACATGAACAGACTTTGACATTACAGGTTAGGACACATAGGTGAGAAGTCACTGCAGGCGCTGTGCAAGCAGGGACTATTGAAAGGAGCCAAGAGTGGAAAAGTAGATTTCTGTGAACACTATGTTCTTGGCAAGAAAACGAAGGTGAAGTTTTGGACTGTTATTCATAGGACGAGGGGCATCCTGGACTACGTGCACACAGACGTTTGGGGTCCTACCAAGACTACATCACTTGGTGGTCGATATTGGTTCGCCACGTTCGTTGATGACTATTCTAGATGATGTTGGGTGTACACTATGGCAAAGAAGAGTGAAGTCCTAGATATATTCGTGGAGTAGAAGAAGAGATTAGAACTGCATATTGGGAGAAAGATCAAGATGTTGCGATCCAATAACGATGGTGAATTTACTTCAGACCCCTTTCCGTAGCTATGTCGAGACGATGGCATAAAGAGACACTTCACGGTTAGTCATACACCACAGCAGAATGGGGTGGCAGAGAGGCTAAATCGGTCTTTGCTGGAGAAGGTCCGATGTTTATTGTCGCAGAATGGTTTGGAGAAGATCTTTTGGGCTGAGGTACTTACATAAGCGAGCCACCTCATTAATAGGCTGTCTTCATCTGTGATTGAGGGGAAAACCCCTATGGAGAAGTGGTCGGGAGAGCCAACACACGATTATGACCAGCTCAAGGTATTTGGGTGCCCTGCATTTTATCATGTGAGAACAGATAAATTAGAACCTCGAGCTAGAAAGACCATATTTGTAGGATTCAAGCGTGGTGTAAAGGGATACAAGCTATGTAATCCAGTTGATAGGAAGATTGTGCTAAGTAGGGACGTCACATTCGATGATGCTTCTATCTTGAAGCTTCCCAGCTCTCATCAGGTGAAGAGCGACCCGACGAAGGAGATATCGCAGGTGGTGAAGGTCGATGCAGCTCCACATTATCTAGATGGTACAATATTTATTAGAGTACCGATTGAGGTGACGCCAGGCGAGCACGACGATGACACGGAGGATACGGATACTGATGTGCAGGATCAGGGACCGACGGCTCAAGTTCAGGATTCTATTACGGTTCGGAGACAGAGAAGAGACATACGGATGCCAGCACGGTATGTCGACACAGTTACATATGCACTTTCGGTGGAGAGTATCAATGAGATGGTGCCTACTACATTCAGAGTGGTCGAGCAGAGTTCGGAGGCTGATTCGCGCAGTTAGCTATGCAAGAGGAGATGGAGTCTCTTCACAAGAATGATACGTAGGAGCTTGTTGAGCTTCCAAAGGAGCGGAAGACAATTGGTTGCAAGTGGGTATACACGAAGAAGGAGGGCATTGAGGGCACTCTATTGAGGTTCAAAACTAGATTGGTTGCGAAATGCTATGCACATGAAGAATGTATTGACTATAATGAGGTTTTCTCTCTGGTGGTGAAGTACTCTTTGATTCGGATTTTGCTAGCTTTGGTGACACAGTATGGTTTGGAGTTAGATCAGTTGGATGTGAAGACGACATTTCTTCATGGTGATCTTGATGAAGAAATATATATGACTCAGCCATTGGGATTCCGAACTACAGGAAAAGAAAAATTGGTTTGCAGATTGAAGAAATCGCTATACGGTTTGAAGCAGTCTCTTCGACAGTGGTATATGCGATTCGATGGTTTTATGATTGGTCATTCGTACACTCGGAGCCAGTTTGATCCTTGCGTATATTTTCACAAGTTGAAATGAGGTGCGTACATCTATTTATTACTTTATATCGATGACATGTTGGTTGCCTCTATTTCCAGATCTGTTATAGATGAGTTGAAGGCACAGCTTTCAAAGGAGTTTGAGATGAATGATTTGCGTGAGGCGAAGCGTATTTTAGGGATGGAGATCGGTAGAGACAAGAAGAATGACAAAATTTGTTTAACACAGGTGACTTATTTGAAGAAGGTTCTACAGCGATTTCATGTTAGTATGGATACGAAGCCAGTTAGTGTACCATTGGGAGCCTATTTGAAGCTTTCAGCTGATCTTTCACTAAAGACAGTTGAAGATCGAGAGTTGATGTCAAAGACTCCATATGCGAGTACGGTTAGAAGCTTGATGTACGTGATGATATGTACGAGACCAGACCTGTCACAGGCGGTGAGCATGGTTTCGAGATACATGCACGATCCAGGAGTGGGTCATTGGGACGCCATGAGATGGATTTTGAGGTACATTCGAGGTACGCTCAATGTTGATTTAGTTTATGAGCGGGACATTAGAGGTGCGCAGTTGTGCATTGGCTATATTGATTCGGATTATGCCGGGGATTTGGATAAGCGCCGGTCTATGACGGGGTATGTGTTTACTTTGACTCGTGCGTCGGTGTGTTGAAGATGCATCTTACAGTCGATGATGACTTTGTCTACGATGGTGGCAGAGTATATGGCGATTACGGAGGCGGTGAAGGAGGCTATTTGGCTTCAAGGACTTTAAGAGGAACTTGATATATCGCAGCGGTCCGTCACTATTCAGAGAAGCTATGAAGCAGAGAAGCTAAGGAATTTTACTTGCAGTGTGCAGGCACCTAGCTACTCTCACACTTCATAGTTACACTTGTTAATCTCAAGTAGGATACTATGATGCAGTATTTAATAAACAGGTCACCATCAGGACACATTTATAAAAAAAAAATAGCTAGCTTAAATTTCAACTAGATTCATTACCTACTCCAATAATTGTCCTTGATGCTCCACTGCCTTTATCTGAAACATAAAGAACACCGAATCAGAAATTTACATAAAAGATAGGACAACTGGAACACATTAAGATTGACATTGCGTGTCAAAAAAAAAAAAAGATTGACGTCTAAAGAAAACACAATTTGAATAATGATCATTACAGAGTACTGTGTAGATATAGTTTGATGATAGGATACTTAAGAGCAAAAATTAACAGATTAACAATGAAATGGCACTTTAAACATGACTTCTAAGCTTATCATTAAGAAGTTGTTACAAATGGATAAACCAACGACCAGGAGCACACTACGAAGTACATAGTGCAAATTCTCTACTCTAGGGAACTATAGCAAACAGACTTAAATTTCATCTCAGCCAAAAATCCATAGAACCCTTATAAGTAAAACCTTGTACCAATCAATTTTGTAGCAGATTTCGTAAAACATGTATTGCGAATTACAAGTACAGGTTACTCAATGATCACCTGACTTAGCCCATATGTCTAACGTATACCAAATTCATCACATTCAACTAAAAGAATCAAGAAATCAACCAAGAGAACAGAGAGAATCAGGGAACATACTGAAGAGCGGAACACAAGTGCCATTATACAAGAAATCAACCAAGAGAACAGAGAGAATCAGGGAACATACTGAAGAGCGGAACACAAGTGCCATTATAGATCGACGAATTCGAGCAGAAGCAAGCCCCTCCGTCCTCTGTCTTCGGATAGTTCCCGCAGACCCCTTCAGACTTGGTGCACTTATCACACCACCCTTCACCAGCCTTCCAGAACAACCCGAACCCCTGCTTCATCGCCCCCCCGAAATCATTCGCTCCGTTCCTCAAATAACTATTCGCCGCAGACTTGTATACAGGGACAAAAAACGTCGTGGTGCAGTGTGCCAGGACGTCCATGCTTGGCGGCGATGGCTCATCCTGAAACCTATAAAACGACTGGTAGCCATTGTCCTCGTGGGAGAAACACGGGGTGCTCGGTATCTGAAGTTTGTTGAACAAGGGTACCAAGGCCGGCGAGCAGTTGTAGTAGACGGTCACTACGTCATCGCTTTCTGTGTAATTGAAGAGACTGGGGTTGAAGAGATTGGAGTTGAAGGTGATCTTGGCGATGGACAGGGGACAGGCGTGGTCGGAGAGGATGAAGTCGAGCTCGACGAGGGTGAATGTACGGGACGTGTAGTTGATGGACTCGACGCGGTACTCTCTACCGTCGATGTTGGTGATGAGCATGGTGTTGTCGGCGCACGTCAGGTCGAACTTCGGGTGCCCGCAGTAGAACGGGGCGCCCTGGAGCCTGAATGGGTAGGAAATCTCGAATGTACTCCCGCCGCAGCGGTAGCTGGTCGGCTTGCAGTCGGAGTAACCTTGGCTCTCGGTCGGGTCGGAGAGCGACGGAGAGGCGAGGAATCCGGCGAGGAGCAAGAAGAGAGATAGAGAAGAATGCATTATCGGAGATGGTTAGACTGAGCGGAATTAAGATGGGAAAGAGAGGGCGATCGAAAGAGCTTTCAGGTAAAAGGGGTTTGCTTAAGAATTAAAGGTAGAGAGAAGCTGGGATTGGAACAAAAATGATTAATCCCGCTTTAAGATACCCAAACATTGATGAGGAAATTTAGAATGCATAGAGCGACGCTTGGGTTAACTATGTTGGGGATTATGGAGCCCACACACACCCCCACACGATAATAGCGAGTAATCAACAAAATAATACGAAGAGTTTTTATTTAGTTTGGCAAACACGCCTATATTTATTTTCACTATGCTTCGCAAACTAGTTCAAGTTTTGTATGTAACAATCCAAAACCTCACCTCATGATGCCCCAAGAACTCGTGTATACCCTAACTTAAGAGCCCAAAGAATATTGATTGTGACATCCTCAAAATCTGCAGTGGAAGATAGACATGGGGCAAGCAATGGTAGCGATCCATGCACAAGACAAATCTCATGTATGTGTCAAGCCCGACATTTCACACGGTATAATTTTTTACACAAATATAAAACATGCTGATGATGAAAGTTCAGAGCAAATTATTTACATGACAAATACTTACAACTCAAAAACTCACCGTCATAAGTATTTAACTAAAAATACGTCATTCAACAAATTATTATGTCAAACATCTTTAAGTCCTTGTTTAGCTACGTAGTTAAGTGTGAATATTTATGAAATTGACATGGTTTGCTACACCTTCCATTGGGCAGTTTTTTTTGAAACCCTCACTTGTTCAAAACTTATCATTTAAATCAATTAAAACATGCGCTTTGAAGTCACAAGTAGCATAATTTCATTTGATTCAACTAAACCTGGATTTCAAAACCATTGTTGCTAAACTAGGACATATAATCATTTTGTGGTCCCTCCTTATATGGAGTGTTTTGCATAGTGTTTTGTTAGGCCCTCCTTATTTTGAGTGTTTTGCATGGACGGTGCAGCCCATGTGAAAAGAATGGGAAAAAAAATTCAAAAAAGGGGCCTATGTTTACAGGGTAGCGCACTTAATTTAAGGAGGGATGTTGATTTCATATTAGAAGCAAAAGGCTATAAACAGCCTTCAGTCCTTCGGTCGGAAGCAGAACAAGCAGCGCAACTCAAATCACAGACAACTTGAGTAACTTGAGTGAGTGAGTGAGAGAGAAAAGAGAGAAAAAAAGAAGGCTAGTTTTCTGTGTTCCTTTTTGGGTGTAAAGAAGTCCTCTTTTCTATCTTGTTTATTGTTGGTGTGCCTCTAGCTAAGTGTCTAGAGAGAAAACTTATGTACCTATTATTTTTCATAGTGAAAGATTTTTATGGACTAGGTCCCGTGATTTTTACCTTCAGTTTAAAGGTTTTTCACATTAAAAAAACTAGTATCATGCTGTATATATTTTGGTCATTTTATTATTATTTGTCTTATTAATCTATTTTATCTATAAACAAAGGGGAAATTTAATCAATCAACTCAGTTTTTCCCTTACAACTAGTATCAGAGCATCGTAGAGTCATCCCCTCTATATAAGATAAAATGGATAACACTAGTACAAATAGTGCTATGATCAAGCTTAACAATTTTAATTAGTTAATATGAAAGCCCAAGATTAAGGATATCCTTTTCTATGAGAAATTGTGTGATCCGATCGAAGGCAAGGAGGCAAAACCGGCAAGTAAGTCTTATGCAGACTGGAAGAAAGAAAATAGAAAGACCACTGGAATTACTAGACAATGGGTAGATGATAGTGTAATTCATCATATTTCTAATGAAACTAATGCTTACTCATTGTGGAAAAAGCATGAGTCTTTACTTTAGCAGAAAACAGCTACGCACAAGGTGTTCTTCATCAAAAGCCTTGCAAATCTGAAGTATGAAGATGGTAGCATCATTGCAGAGCAACTAAACAAGTTTCATAGCATCATGAATTAGCTAACACCAATGAAAGTCACTTTTGATATGAAGTACAAGCATTACTCTTGTTGTGATCATTTCCAGATAGCTGGGATACCCTTGTGGTAAGCATAAGCAATTCTGCTCCGAACGATGTCATTTCGATGAGTACTATTCCTACAAGCCTACTCAATAAAGAAATCAGAAGAAAGGTATCAAGCTCTGAACATGCACAAGCCCTCGTCATAGAAGACAGAGGAAGAAGCAAGAGCAAAGCGCTATCAACTTTTCGTAAGAATTCTAGAAATAGATCAAAATCTAAAGGACCTGCGGTAAGGTACTACCATTACTAAAAGGAAGGTCACATCAAAGAAACTGCAGACAGTTAAAGAAGGAGTAGAAAGGAGGCAACAACCAGAATGATGACAACAACACAACCACCACTATAGATAGTGAAGTGGTCTTCTAACTCTTAGAAAAGAATGCTTGCACATTGGAGATGATAATGCTGGCTGAGTGGTCGACACAGCAGCTTCATACCATGCAACACCTACAAAGAGTTCTTCACATCTTACAAAGCCGGCAACTTTGCCGTCATGAGGATGGGAAACACCAGTCAAACAAATGTTATCGAGATTGGTAATATTCATCTACAAATAGATGTTCGATGCATGATGACCTTGAAGGATGTGTAGCACATTCTTGATGTGTTCCTCAATCTCATATCTGGGCTTGCTTTGGACAGCTCCGCTATGAAAACTACTTCGGCAATAGAAGATGAAAACTCACCAAAGGATAATTGATAGTTGCCAAAGGGAAAGCATCTGGCACTCTTTACCAAACTCAAGCAAAGGTGTGAGGTAGTAGCTTGAACATGATGGAGGATAACACTTCTTTCAAATCTCTAACAAAAAAGGCTAGGTCATTTGAGCTAGAAGGGCTTATAGATTTTAGCAAGGAAGAGACTATTTTCCTTGGTCAAATGTATTGCTCTAGACCCATGTGATAATTATTTATTTGGCAAGCAACATTGAGTTTTATTCAGTAAATCTTTCCATAGAAAATCTAATGTGTTAAATTTAATTTACTCTAACGTTCGTGGTCCTATCGAAGAGAAGTCTCTCGGTGGCAATAAGTATTTTGTCACTTTTATTGATGATGCATCCAGGAAATTATGGGTGTATAACCTAAAAATAAAAGATCAGGTGTTCGAGTGTCTTCAAAAGTTTCATGCTATGGTGGAGAGAGAGACCGAAAAGCCTTTGAAATGTCTCCGCGCAGATAATGGAGGCGAATACATATCTAAGAAGTTCAAAGCCTACTACTCAAAATATAGTATACGACATGAAAAGATTGTACCAGGTACTTCTCAACACAACAGTGTGGCAGAGAGGATGAATCACACCATTATGGAGAGAGTCCGAATGCATGCTAAAGATGGCAAATTTCTCAATGCATTCTAGGGAGAAGCAAAGCAATTCGCACGAAATGGTATTTGATCAACCGATCTTCATTAACTCCTTTTTCATTTGATATTCTAGATAGAGTATGGACAAAGAAAAATATCTCTTACTCTAATATGAAGGTATTTGAGTGTAAAACTTTTGCAGCTTGCATGACATGCTATTTGATTAACTAATCTCCATCAGCTCATTTATCATTTGATATTCCAAAAAGAGTATGGACAAAGAAAAATATCACTTACTCTCATCTGAAGATGTTTGGGTGAAATTTTTTTACACATGTTCCAAAGGAGTAGAGATCAAAGCTTGCTGATAAGGTGATTCTATGCATCTTTATTGTAGGCTGTCTAAAAATTAATACAGATAGCTGGTCTTCACGAAACACTAGCGATGAAAATTACAATCTGATGACCATCACGACAACAGACGAGCGTTATAAATTAACGACTCTCATATTTCCAAGAGTCGAATGTAATGATTACAAGCTAACGATCCTTACAGAATTAAAAAAAAAAAGATTGACGACTCTCAAGGCCAAACTCGGACCTCACGTTCCAAACCACAAACACAAGGGTCACCCCCACATTTCATAGAACCGAACACGAGGCTCACTCCAGAACGCGAATCTCGCGTTTGACTATTTCAAACATGATTTAAACGGGAGAAATTAATGGGGTTGGTTACACCCATAAAGTTCTATAAATAGCTAAAATTTTAGCTGGATGAGGGCTGGAATTTGGAGGAGTTGGGAATTGGCTCTTGAATTCTATTTACATCGAATTCTAAAGATCAAGAGATTGGCTTTTTTGCTTAAGGGATTAATCTCCTTTGTCGAAATTAACTCTTTTTAAGAGTTCCTAATTTGGCTAGAGTTCAAAACTTGCTTAACAAGTTCTTCCCGACGTAAAACTCAGAAGTGAAGATCAACGTCCCACGAAGCAAAGTGTTCGGATCGTCAACGAGATACAAGACTCAAACTCCCATCGCCACCAAGAAGAACCTAGCCTTAAACAAAGAGGGGGATCTATCCTTCTCTCTTTTATAAATCGGAAAACCGATCAAGAAGATTATAATTTCTTTTTTCTAAGTCGTTAGTTAGAGAGAGATTGCAAAGAGAGATTGTATTCATTCTTTTCCTAAGCCAGTTAGGAGGATTAATAATATTTCTTCACATTTCTTCTTCAATATTTTCCCGCAAACAAAAGATGGCGACTCCGCTGGGGACTAACTTTTTCACCGATGAAGAAGTGGTGGTGCAATCCGACGCTAAATTCGTGGGGACTACTGTCGAAACTCTAACCGTTGAGTTCAACCAGGCCAAATATGAGGAGTTCCTCTCTGTTTGCGAGAAAAATACAAAAAAATTTGAGAAATAAATTTGTATTAATCTCCCTAACTGACTTAGAAAAAGAATGAATACAATCTCTCACAGTAATCTTTCTCTAACTAACTTAGAAAAAGAAATTATAACTTTTCTTTATCAGTTTCCCGATTTACAAAAAAGAGTAGGAATCAACGGAGATCCTTCCCTTTGTTTAAAATTGGGTCCTTCTTGGTGTCGTTGGGAGTTTGATTCTTGCATCCCGTTGACGATCCGAGCACGCAACCTTATAGAATTTTGTCTATTTTGAACTCTAACCGAGTTTGGAAGAACTTGCAAGGCAAGTTTTGGAACTTTAAACGAGTTGAGAAGAACTTGTAGGGCAAGTTTAAACTCGTAACGAGTTATGAACTCTAAGAAAGAGTTGATTTTAGAGAGGAAATGAATCTTTTTCTAGCCAAAG